TTCTGTGCGATAGCATAGATAATTGAATGATAATGTCAGGTGTAGCTTGTGAATCAAGATGGGTGTCGATTACACTCAAATATAATTTCGACATTACTTATTACATGACATTAATCATTGAACATACACAGCAAAGTATGAAATCTGTTCATATGTACGGCTCCTCAGATAAAGGAAGCTGTGATGGTTCATATGTAAGATCGCACACCTCCAAGGGCTCTGCCCCGAGAATTTAGTGGTTGGTTCTCTTCCTTCTTCTGTTGTTTTTTTGCAAGATTATCCAGTTTTTTTCGTGGCAAAGTATCCAAAATTTCCTTGCAGAGTCCTAGAAACGGCGATGCGACACCCCACGGAAATTCCAACACTATTCAATTCGATTTTTTCAAAATCCATAATGTCCAAATAAACGACACAGCAAAAAAATACATTGATGCACTCCCCATTGTGTTTGATAATAAATCTGTTTTATGATGAGAATGCTTTTCATCTCCTGCAGATAAAGAAACCTCGAACATCGTCTTACATAAGACTCGTCTTGCTGCCCAGTGGACAAACTGTCTACAAAGTGGACGCACTCTCTCAAAACGTGACAATTGGTAGTAATTCAACCACACTGCATTTTGCGATTCCGCATCCTGTGCTGAGCATGGATGGATTATATGCAATCCTGATAGATAAGGGAGTTGTTGTTGGACAGGGCTGTGCCTCTGGCGGTACACCCACACCCGGAATATCATCCTCGAATGCCTGGAGATTCTACGTAGATGGCGTTTGTTCTTCTGGATATTCTCTTCGCTCACCTGACTTCCAAAGCTGTGTTGGTACGCAAAATTTTAGATTTTCAGAATTCCTGAAAACAGAACCTTAAATGAAATGCGCACTCAACAATCTATTTAGAAAATCTTCATCAAAGAGGTTTTGAGGATTTGATTTAATTTTATCATATGGCTGTGTTGGCGCCTCGGCCTTCATGTCCTTCCCACGACACTTAACGTGGAGTGTGGAACTAGCTTCTGGAAGATTCTGAGCACACATTTCCCCAAAATAATTCCCATCTATTCGTCTTTCTTTCTTTTCATCCGTCCTCAAACTGTCGGTCCGTCCCTCCACTCATACACCTTGATCCTCTAGTCATTCATGCATTCACCCATCTTTTTCCCGTCGTGTGATTGGTCTATAACACCTATGCACCCGTCCTCTTCGTTTGCACGAATCTTTCAGAATGCGGCATTAAGTAATGGTTTCCTCTTTTTCGCCTTTAAGATGTAAATGAATGTGCCTACTCTGGTTCCAGAGGTGAGTGTCTGCATCTTCAGGTTACTATAACAGCAATAACGACAGACACACTGTCGTAAAAGGCTGGAAAAATTGTTTAACGTTATTGTCGCAATTTGCTTATGATTACCGATCTGCTAGAATTTTCTTGTCTGTACATTGGAACGCTTCAGGTCCGTCAAATATTTTTCCGGAGTTCACGTTAACCGCAGGTTGTGATCAGGACTGTGACAACACTCCCGGAAATTACAGCTGTTCCTGTGAAAGGGGATTTCAACTGCAGTCGAACGGGAAGTCTTGTACAGGTGAGAAACATGAGAAGTATTGATTAATAATCATAATCGGCTAGAGTCTGTTACTCGTATTCATATCGCTCTCTCCACAAACAAAAACGACGATCCAATAAAAACATCCGTACCAGTCTTTTAGAGTAACACTTATTTTGATCACTCTCGTAGAAGAAGATTAGTGGAACTGTTTTGGAAACAGAAAATAATGTACACACCTAATTTTACCTAATGATTAAAATGGCAAACAACTCGGACGCTTAGTTACCATGCAGTGTTATCAAACTGAAAGATGGAGTGGGCTTTTTTTTTTTTTTTTAGATATCAACGAATGTATCATCAATAATGGCGGCTGTAGTCATCAGTGCTTCAACATACCTGGAACATTTTACTGCGGATGTCCTAAAGGATTAACGATGGGGAGAAACAATTTGACCTGTGTTGGTGAGTAATAGCTAGTGTGACCCGAAATGTGCAAAATGTATATATATATATATATATATATAAGAAAAAAAGGAAACGTAGACCGGACTACCGATTCGGCGGTCAGATGTTCCACCAGTTAAAGTAGGGTGAGCTCGTTTCCTAGGATTACAAATTTCGAAAGTGTCTTGTTTGGAAGTAACTTGGATGGCAAATTTTGATTACGGTTATGAAAAAAAAACATGTCAGACATTCGTGACGAGTTTTTAGCTGTTCAGGTATTTATTTCTCCTGTCCGCTACAGCAAACCTCTAAAACAAAATTTTGAAATTATCCTCAAGTTTGTAAACCTTCTCTCACATTTTAGACCGAGCTGCAAGGGTTACGTGTGGGGAGAACAGTATGATGGTCTCTCTTGGAAAGGAAAGATTCCACTACTTTACAGTCAATCAACTACGCTTGCGCTATGCCTCATGCAAAGCCACCGAGAATTCCACCCACTTCTTGATCAGCACCTCTTTAGATAGTTGTGGGACTCAGCGAAACGAAACCGAAGACTACTTAATCTTTTGGAATGAGGTCCTGGCCGACGCCCTGATAATCGATGGTGTGGTTACTCGTTCACATGATATAAAAATGCCATTTTACTGCCGATACTCCAGAAAGAAGTTAATGAGTCTGGCCTTCACACCTCAGAGGATTTACTTCGGGAATGAAAGTATCTTAACTTCATACATAACTTTATTTAAGCGAGGATGTGATTAGCACCACAGAACTGACGTTATTAACTTTAGAAGGGACCCCAAGTCGGTTTTACTAGCATGAAGCAATCGGGAGTAACTCAGGAATGAAAGTAACTTAACTATAATGAAATAGATAACTTTATTTAAAATTCGATACGATTAACACCGAAGAAATGACGTTATTAACGTTGGAAGAGACCTTAAATCGGTTTCATTAGCATGAAGCGATCGGGAGTAAAGCTTCTTCTCTGTACGAGATGCAAAATAAGCGCAGACTAACCCGGCCTCAGAAAGCTATCAAGGTCCCCTGTCCCCTTGTATTGATGTTGTCATCTGTGCTAAGAGTAGAGTAGGACACCGTAAGAGTTATGTCTTGCAAAAAAAAAAACATCGCAATGACCTAACCAGGGCTTGAGTTTAGTTCTTTCGGTCTTGAGTCTGCAGCGATATCCATCAGGCTACTACATATGTTCCCTATGCAACTCAAGGTCACTCACGTTGATGGAGGGATAGTTGTTAAAAATCTCAAACCTTCAACGTATTTTCGAAGTGAAACGGAGGAGTTGGACTCGGAACAAACCAGAGCATTCCAACCGAACCTTGGACCTCCAGATAAAAAGCTTTAAACCATTTAAACCCCCATGCAATGCCAGCTTCACTTGGGAATCGTGACCTCTGAAGAAACTTTTGTTGTGGGATTAACTACAACTTTCTGCATAGGGAAGTGACTAAGGTTGTTACCTGAAAAAGAGATTTTCTTCGACATTTGCCATGAAATGCCCTGCATGAACCAAATACTACCATGTTTGAATTAAATCCTAGGAAAGTTTCCTTACGGATACCTTTTCAGCTGTTTATAACGATAAAAATAAGGAAGTAGCTGAGGTAATCTTTTTTCTAATCTTCACTATTTAGCGGGATATGGTTCGTTCACCTTCAACTTGGACTTCTACGGGAATTCGTCATTTGCCACGCCCTTAACGGAGCAAGACTACCCTCTATCACTGGCTCTGAATGAATTTGTTTATTTACAGTACAGTGTGGCGTCCACAGCTGACCTAGTCATCATGGCTGAGAACTGTAAGGCGACTAAAGACGCAAGCTTCTATTCGTGGCCGCAATACACCTTCCTACAAAATGGGTAAGCATATAATATACCGTGATCAAGCAGAACCAGCTGCGAGTTAAGCTTTCAAAGCTTGATACGATTTTCGCATCATAATATATATGGATGTGATTAAGGGAACCTATATAATAATATAATAATATTTTTATTTTTAATCGCTTTATGGTCCTTAGCCGTTATATGGTCTTGTTGCTGAACCGATCTTAGGTCTTCAAGTGTTCATACTGAGGCTCTACTATCTACAATGTTGAAAACGTAAATTAGCCACCGTAAAGGGTTAAAAAAGCTGACGTTTCGAGCGTTAGCCCTTCGACTAATCGCTCTGAAGAAGGGCTAACGCTCGAAACGTCAGCTTTTTTACCCTTTACGGTGGCTAATTTACGTTTTCAACCCAGTTGTTAACACTAAATTACCTGCTATACTCTCCCACCGACGCAGCACCACAGTTTCTTTAGAAACTTACCCCTTTATTCATTTATCTACAATGTTATTAATTTCATTTTCGTATTGTTGTCGTTTCAACGAAAAGATGCCCCACAGATTCAACGCTTGAATACAATTATAGTCCAACACGACACTACCAACAGTTTAAAATCAGAACGCACAGATTTTGGAACGACTACGATATAGTGTACTTCCATTGTGAGCTACTGGCCTGTCATCATAATTCTCCGGATTCCAGGTTGGTCTCAAATTATTCACTTACATTGCAAACAAGCGAAGTCAGAATGAATTACCCTAGCTGGATGTTGGAGAGTTTTCGATCCTTCTAGGTGTGACTAAAAATGTCTCAGCCGATTTTCCTTCTTCTTTTTTGGCTGTTATCAAATCCGTGAAATGTTTCCCGAAACAATATCGCATCTGGCCTGCGTAATGTGATTGATGAATTCGGTGAATGATAAAGTTTTATTCTCGTTATCGATATAAATACATAATTTTGCGTGCAAACCAAGCGAACTATTCTGCCGGAGCTTATCCAACCCCATCCCCCTACCCGGAATATTGCTATCCTTCCAGCGCGGAGCACTGGTCCATCGTAAAAGGTTGCGTCAGTGCTCTTTGTTAAATCTCCCTCACATTTCTTAACTATTAACTTACACTCCTACTCGAGACAGGCAATTTAAGAGGAAGTTGGCTTGCTCATGTTAATAAACAACACGATAGCCTTGAAAGGGCAAGCACCTGGACCTTTCGTTCACGATCAAGGTTCATTTACCATTTCAGGCCATCTTGATTAGTTGTACTTTCTCAGGCTTGAAACACTTAGAGAGAGGGAATAAAAACAAAGTTCAGGCAAGGTTAAGGTGGCTCACTGGTCCACTGGATAACTGATAGAAACTTTCAAAAAATGTGGCTATTCAGAAATGCATTGCTGATTGATTTGCATTTTTGTCCACGTGCTAATCATTCGTAATTCAAAATCTAATGAACACTTTTGCAGGTGCAGTAAGGGCTGTATAAAGAACAAGAGAAAGAGAAGAGAAGTGACAAGAGATGTTGGAGACCAAGAGGAAAGTACAAACAAAATCATTCTTACAGGTGGACCTGTAGTGTTCGAGGTGGCAAAAGAAGACAAACCACTCGATCACCGTAGGTTTTCGAAAAAAAACTCGTTAATACATTGTTTTTATCTGTTTGTTACGTTACGATCCTTTTATTGAATCAGGTATGAAAAGCTCAAGGCTGCATTAGTGTGACCGCGTCTTTCACATGATCCTACTACTATTTTCAAGGGAAGAATGACACCTTCTGAAGTGTATGTATTGATCTATAGCAAAGATGAGGATTTAACTCCAATGTCTAACACCCATGCACTAAAACCACAAACAAGCATACTTTGAGACCCTGCCGCCCTCCCTCCTTAATGAGAAAAACTCTGTTGTCTTTACCCTCCTAACTGGTTCTTTGCAAAAGGATGCACCTGTTTCATCAAACATTTCTCGAATCTGATTGACTGTTAGGAAAATGAATCGCAAAGCAAGATCCAGAACTTAATTCCCTAAGAGGCCTTGACCCTCGTCGCTGACTGAAACGATCACGGCTCAGAGGTTGGGACTTGAATGATTTTGTTCACCAGGGAAATGAAATGTTTTCTTATCTGTTGTTTTATAGAGCCAAGTCAAAGTAAACAAACAGCTCTGATCGGTGGTGTGGCAGGCGCTGGAGGATTTGGTCTGGTCGCAATTGTAGCTCTGGTTGTTTTGTTAGTCAAGTTCCGTAGGATGCAGCGGTTACAAAACAGCAAGAATGACGAGAGAGCTGGATACACCATCCTGCTTACACAAGTGAAAGGAAAACAAAGCAGTGTTTAAAACGATTACAGTGTTAAATGACTAATGGTAGCTTCAATTGTTTGCTAAATTGCCTCTGTGTAGCTTGGATGTTTTGAATTTATAGCCTATTTGTCACTTTTCAGAGGGAACATATTTGTTTGCGTATTTCCATATTGTAGAGTGCGTGAAAACGAACATTGGTTTCACCTAGGGCTCATCGTTATTTCGAAGGTGTCCTACAGACGCTTAGCAAGTATAGCAGTATGTATTAGTCAAACCTTTTAATTTTGAGCATATACAGAGATCATATATAATCGGCTATCAGTAATAGTACTCATAATAACTTTTCCAAAGTTTTTTTGTATGTCTAACATGGTTTTGTTAACATTGTTAAAGTAGAGAAATGATATACCGCTCTGCTGCAATTTTGCAAAAACTCTCGCCTGGTCTTCATGATTATATGCACCCAATTACTTGAGCGCTATGTTTTCAAGAGTGTTCTTAAAAAGATAACATTTTCATTTTAACTGTTCTCAGTTAAATAACTGCTAATACTTTATAAAAATGTACAAAATCCCAGTTCATAATAATGTTTCTTTGCTATCGGAGTTGCCAACAACAACCACCAAGCGTGGCCCAAGCATAGATCGAGAACCTGGAACGCGCTGAATTGCTTCTGACCCACGTCTATTCTGCATGTGTGTCGCCCTTTATCCCTCGGCGTGTTTTTTTTTTTTCCTGCTTTCTCTTTTTTTGAAAGCTCTTCTTGTTCTTTGGTAAATAATTTTCAATCTGGGAATCTACATGCTAAAATATAGGCCTTTTCATTCAGAGAGACATTACTATATCAAAACACTATTTCCTGATATATGAACAGGTAAAAATGTTAATATTAAATTATTTACCACCTCTGTGGTTGTAAAGAAAGGCGGGATGTTACACTGAAATCAGCTTACTGTCTATACCCTTTGATCGCCAGTAAAAAGGTGCAAAATAAGTTTCTTTAAACTAGTATTTCAACCTTTTTTATCTTAGACCAAACCACAAGTGTTTCGTGCGGGGAGAACAAAATAACGGTGTATTTGGAAAAGCGAAGATTCTACAAATTTAAAGCCAATCAACTACACTTACGCTATGCTTCGTGTAAAGGAATCGAGAATGCCACCCACTTCTTGATCACCACATCTTTAGATAGCTGCGGGACGTTGCGGAACGAAGCCGAAGATTTTCTGATCTAACAAGCCAGCTCCCAGTTGGCTTGTTAGCTCAGTTAGTAGAGGGCTGCACCGGTATCGCAGAGGTCAGGGGTTCAAATCTCGTACGGACATGAATTTGTTTTTCAGGCTTTATTTTCACTATTAGTTCAGTAGCATTCATAAGGGCTGGGATCGCTTATATTCGTTTATAAGTGCTTGTTAACACCAAACTCGAAATCATGTTGTTACTTGTTAATAATTTACACGAAAAGCACATTACAGAAAGTCAAAACGGACGAAATTTTAGCAAGCAAGCAAGCGCTATTTGTAATTTGCACTCGTGTTACAACTTTGCACTCGTGCTACAACTTTGCACTCATGTTACATGAAAAATGCACTCATTTTCAGCCAATCAGGCGAGTGTAATAGGAGTACGCGTCATACTTGTAATTGCACAGTGTAATAAGACAGTTGACACATCATGCTTGCGGATAAGTGGACGGTACGCGGTATGTGCGCGCCCTGTTCTCGCGCATTTCGCGGAGTTTTTTTTGTGAAAACGTATGAGTGATGCCTATTTTCTTTCTCTGATTTTGTCATAGTTTTGATTAATTAGTAAAAGAACTTCGTGTCGTTCGATTATGTCTGAAATCATACTCATGATTAAGAAATCAGGCTCCCGCTTCGAGGTCGC